GGGCCTTCACCGAGCTGGGGACCCCCGAGGAGGAGCAGGTTTGAGGCCAGAAAGACAGGATCCATTCTGGACACGTTCATCTGTATCCTCCTGGGGTGACGTCTTGGGAAACAAATCTCAGAGCTGGGCTGGCCCCCGGGGTCTTCTCCAGGCCCCTGACTTCATCTTTGGACAAACTGAGGCCAGGAGGGAGAAAAGACTTGCTGTCTGAGCTCCAGCCCCCTGGAGGTGCCTGTTCCCGCCACCTCTGCCCACCCTCCCATAAATAACAAAGGGAAGCAAATAGCCTTTCAGGGTTTCAGGTGTTTCCTTTCTTTGTTCCCCAGAGTATTGTTCTGGACGCAACATCTGGAGGTACCTGTCTTTCTGTGCCAGGGCCTTTGTTTTCAGAGTGGAAACTTCTGACCTCTCATCCCAACGAGACAGAATCCTCAGAGGAAACTTGATAGTGGCCAATCAGATGCCTGGGTCATCGGCTTGAAATATGAGGTCCTCGGGAAATAGTTGGTGGTCACATAAGTTAGGGAAACTCTGGGCTTCACATAATGGATGGGGCTCTGCCCTGCAGGACTTCTCAGGGCCTTTAGCAGTGCCAAGCCAAGTCCCCACAAGGGGGCTCCTGTGCGCCGGGCTTCCCAAGGTTATAGGACCAATGAATATTTCTGTGGGAGCAACCCATCCCCCCCCACCCCGCCTCGCCATCTCCCAGAGCAACTGCTCGGGTCGTGGCTCAGAGAGCTATGGTCAGAGCTGGGCTGCCTCTGGGTGTCCTCCCCAGACCTCTCGGCTTTTTTATTGGACAAACTGAGGCCTGGAGAGAGAAGGGGATTGCTCAGCACAGCCAGCAGGGGACTCTGGCCTCAGGAGCCCCGGCTGGATTCCCTTCTCTCATGCCTGATTCTTGCCCAGTGACACAGGAGCTCCCATTTCCTGGGTTCCTGCAGGGCCCTACCTTCTCTTTCCACCAGAGCCTTCTGGAAGGGGTTTCGGCGGGTGGCTGTGAGTTGGTTGCCCCCATCAGTGTCCAGGCATCTCACGTGGACCTGTGTGGACATGCCTTTCCTCCCCCCGGCATCACAGAAAGCGGTGTCCGAGCCCTGAGTCGGATTCTGGCAAAAAGCGATTATCGCTCTAACATCCTGGGGAAGCGGGAACAGGCCTGTCTGGGTGGTGACGGCAGTGGAGCTCTGTGGGCCCAGAGACAGGGCCACTTTGGCGTCTCTGAGCCTCCCAGTGGGGTGTGTGGACAGCACCACGGAGGGCCACCCGTGCTGTGGGCACCGTGGGTGCCACGGGCCCAGGGTGACTGTGCTGGGCTGAGGTGCAGCTCAGGACCGGCAGGGAGGGGCCCGGGTGTCAGGAAACCCAGCTTATATTCTCGTTTCACTGTGTGACCCTTCTGGAAGGGCCTTCATGTCGCCATGCACAAAACGGGTGCTTCCTTAGTTCATCGCGCAGATACTCCTGGGAGGGTCGGCTCCATACCCGGCCTCGTGTGCGCCCCTGGGTGGAAGAAAGTGCCTGAGCTTGTGTTCCTGGCGTAAGAGACCCAAGGTGAAGGCCTGGCTGCCTATAAGCTCATGGGGCGCTGACCCCCGGAAGCAGGAGTGAGGGGTAGGAAAGGAGCACACAAAAGGAGAAAAAGCTAACATCAGGGTCCTGGAGGTCACTGCTACAGCCCATGATACCTCAGTCCCCTGGGACCTCCAGCCATAAGGCAGACTGTCCCCAGGGAAGCTGGAACCAGTCCATACTGGTTCAGCTCCCCGTCTGAACTTTCTTTTTAATGTTTATTTTTGAGAGAGAGAGAGAGAGAGAGAGAGAGAATGAGCAGGGGAGGGGCAGAGAGAGAAGGGGACAGAGGATCCAAGTGGGCTCTGTGCTGACATCCCAATGCTGGGCTCGAACTCATGAACTGAAGTCAGAGATTTACTCACTGAGCCACCCAGGTGCCCCTCACTGCCTGGGCTTTGGCCTGGGGATTAACCCCTGCATTCCCAGCTGTGTGCTGGCCCAGGCAGGCCCCCTCGTGCTTGGAGACGTGCCCGGAGCAGGTGTGAGGCAGAAGCTGCTGAGGCCAAGGGGCTGTGAGGTCATCTGAAACCTGTCCCCAAGGCACCGCAGAGTTAGAGGTGGGCCCGAGGGCGCCATGGGGGGCAGCAGAGGTGTCTGCCTGTCTCCAGGGCATGGTAAGGTTGGATGGTTTCAGGCTGGGGGGGGGGAAGAGAACAGAGTGAGCCCTGACCCTCCTGTCCCCTGCTCTTGCTCCCATGTGACTGTCTTTATCTTTTTTTTAATTTTTTTTTCAACGTTTATTTTTTTGGGGACAGAGAGAGACAGAGCATGAACGGGGGAGGGGCAGAGAGAGAGGGAGACACAGAATCGGAAACAGGCTCCAGGCTCTGAGCCATCAGCCCAGAGCCCGACGCGGGGCTCGAACTCACGGACCGCGAGATCGTGACCTGGCTGAAGTCGGACGCTTAACCGACTGCGCCACCCAGGCGCCCCAGTAATGCAATTTTTAAAAACGTGATCGTGAAAATGTGAATGTAAGCCCTCAAGATGAGCCCTGTCTTGCCTGCCGAGATACCTCTTAAAATCTGGGGGCTGCCCAGGTTAGCGGAAGGATTTTCTCCCTATTTGGTGTATCTGGAATGTGCGTTTGTGGGATGGACCCCTTTTGGGGAGCTGTATGGCAGGGCACGTGTGTCCTCGGGATCGGTGAATTCCCTGCATCCCATGGCCAGCCAGGCATCCTTGATGAGGGGCTCCTGTCAGAGCAGCACTAATTCTCAGCCTGTCACGCCGGGCTGTTTCCCGGCTGGAGGAGCCCAGGCTGCCTGGCCAGCAGTGCTCGGTGTGAAAGTAATTCAAGTGGAAATGTGTGTCGTTTCTGCCATGCAGGGGGAAAGTGCTCTTGGAGCTGCTTGCCACAGGATGGGGGGGTGGGGCTTGGGCAAGGAGGCTCCCTGTTCCTGCAGCTGAAGGATGGGTGTCACAGGACAGGCAAGAACGGAGCTGGTGGCCTGGACTGGGCCACCACGGAGAGCATCTTCGCCTGCAGGTAGGACCCAGTCCCAGGGAAAGGACAGCCCCCCAGCCATAACCGTGACCATGGAAAGAACATCTTCATGTGGGTGGCACTAGTCCCAGGGCACGGGTAGCCCCCAAGTCATGACCTTGAAGATGGCCATGACCAAGGACTATGACTGTAGAAAACGTCATCTGCATCTGAAGGGCAATCCGGGCAATCCCCAGTGCCAAGGCGGGAACAGCTTAAGCCAGGACGGTGAACGTGAGCATATTATGGAATCCGATGGGCTCTGGGGCCTGTGGGACATACAGGTGAGGCCGCAGGTCCAGAGACCTTAGGCGCGGGTGAAGAGCTCCCCCAGTGGGCAAGCCTGAGAAACCACGCTAGTCACGATGTCGTTGGGTGCCTGTATTTGCTGGCTGTTCTCCTGCTGGGGGTGGCATCTGTGGCTGACGGGGTTGGAGGGGTGATGGTGGGGGTGTTCTGTGGGAGCACAGCAGACCAGTGAGGAGGAGACACGGGCAGAGGCAGTAGGGACAGAAACTTGGGGAATAAACACAGCTGTTAACACGGGATTTCACGTTTACTTACGTTTGAGAGACAGCACGAGTGGGGGAGGGGCAGAGAGAGAGGGAGACACACAATCCACAACGGGCTCCGGGCTCTGAGCTGTCAGCACAGAGCCCGGCGCGGGGCTCAAACTCACGAGCTGTGAGATTGTGACCTGAGCCGGAGTCAGACGCTCAGCCGACTGACCCACCCAGGCACCCCTACACGGGGTTTAAAAAAAAGTTTTGCACTGAGATGTTCAGAGTGATCTTCCCCTCTACCTTTCCATGAAAATTTCAGTCAAATCTGTCCGAGTCAACAACGCTTTTGACGTTGGGCTTCTCAAACTTCTTGGAGTTCCCGAAGGGCCGCCTGGTCCCCAACCTCAGCCTGCCCTCCAGACAGCTCAGGTGAACCTCTGAGCCCCTTCATCACAACCTGTGGCCGAACCGTGCCTCTAGAGCAGATGTCCCCCTGCATCCTGTCTGCTGATGGGAGATCCAGAGGCAAAACAGGCCATTTGAGAAGCAGGGTTAAAATCGCCGTGGTCTATCTCTGGGGAGACGGGTTATAACCCAGGGGGCCTTCTTTGCCAGTGGTGGCTGAGACAGACAGCCGCCAGGGAAGGAGCAAGGAGAGAGAGCGCCGTGGAAATTCTCGCCTGGTGTCCTTCCCGGAAAGCGACTCGTGCGGAATTTCTCCGTGGCATCAGCGCGTTTACTTAGCTCGGCAAAGGAGATTGGGGCTGGGGCCATTTCTGGGGCGGCTGCAATCCGGCAGCTTTTTGTAATTATCTGTTAGTAATTATCTGCTAAGACTTGGGTAAACAGCAGCCTGCTTAGCCACCCTTGAAGGATTAAATCATTACGTTTATTGCTCTATCCACTCGCTATTAACCTCCTAAGAGGCTTTTCCACCTCAGAACCAGGGTTTTCATTGATGAACTCCAAGGAGAACATCAGAGTCGGGAGGCAGTGGGGGTGGGGCAAAGCTCTCGGGCGGCTGCTGGGTGCAAAGCCTGGTGACTGTCGCTGTCCATCAGCACGTCTGTGACAGGAGTCCCTGACAGTGCACACGCTCTCCGGGAAAGTAGGACCTTCTCCTAGGGAGTGTATCTTAAGAAGCAAAGGGCCCAGCTTTGGTGGCAGGGCCTGGAGAGTTCTTGCAAGAGACATGGACAGACAGGCAGGCTGGGCTTTTCACGGGAGGGATGGGATATGGGATGTGGCTGGCGTGCTTTGGGGTCATGGTCTGCAGGGCCACAGGAGAGGTCTTCACTTCTCCCGGGGTGTGCAGTGAGCTTGGCTGATGGGATGAAGGTCAGATGGAGACCAAGACTATTTTTTCAGCGAGGATCTGCCCTGACTTTTCCTTTAGGCTGAGGTTGCCTTTTCCTTTCTGGACATTTCAGGGACGGCCCCAAGCCATGACCATGAAGACGAAGCCGCTGCGGAACTGATGGGCCCCCGACGGCTGGGTGGAAGCCTCTGGTCCAGAGGTGCTGGGCGGGGATGGGACTCTCCTCCCAGGGGCGAAGCCTGAGAAACCGGAGCTGGTTGTGACACCTTTGGCTCCGGGGTATTTGCTGGCCTTTGTCCTGCTGGCTGGCGTCTGGGGGCTGAGACTTGCAGTAAATGATGGTGAGGGTGTTCTGTGCTCTGAACCACCTCAAGGGGAATGTGGGGCTGCATTCTGAGGGGGCTGGGGGTGCCGCACAGGGCGAGACACAGGCCAGCCCCCAGGGCCTACTGTTGGGGGGGCGGGGCTGTCACTAGCTGTTTCCTCTGAGGACTCCATGCATTGGCAGGGGTGAGGCATGGTGGTCGGGCAACAGGTGTTGACGGGGCGCCGGGCAGGGGTCACCAAGAGTCTTCTCCTAAATGCCTCCCGTGTGCCAGGCACTGTGCCAAGCAGAAATGCGTAACGGTAAAGGAGACCTAGTTTCGGCCCCGGCTCTCATGTGGATGCTGGGCTAGAGGCGAGAACCGTAATAGATCTGCAAACGTGACCGGGACCAGCAAGGACGCCAGCCACAGCCAGGCCTCCAGTCTCAGGCTGCTGGATCTAATGGGATCGGATGTTCCAGCTGAATTCTCTCACTTGTTCTTTAGGCTCCGAAGCCGTGATACAAGAGGCCAAATGAGAGGAAATAACTAGGATCAACGAAAATCCATTTTGGAAGAGGCCATTACAATGGTTCGTTTGGGAAACCCTTGTGAAGCTGGCTTTCTCCATCTTTTGTTCAACAATCAAGAAACCCTTGGTGAAGAGTGAGGAGAATGTTGCAAAACCCCCAACTGGATCACGGGACTGGCCAACAGCTTTTAAAAATGTAAGTGAATTTACATCAAGCACTTACCAGGTAGAACAACAGAATGATCTCCATTTTAGTATAAATGACCCTCACTGCTAAGTTTAGGAAACAGGGCTTGTATCAGAAAATCGGGGGTGGACAGTCGCTCTACCTTCGGGGTCAGGGCTTTCAAAACTGGTTTGTATCAAAACGACTGGCAAGAGTTTAAACCAAAAATGACTTTGGGGCGCCTGGGTGGCTCAGTCGGTTAAGCGTCCAACTTCGGCTCAGGTCATGATCTTGCGGTTCGTGGGTTCGCGCCCTGCGTCGGGCCCTGTGCTCGGACAGCTCAGAGCCTGGAGCCTGCTTCGGATTCTGTGTCTTGCTCTCTTTCTGTCCCTGCCTTGCTTGCGCTCTGCCCCTCCTCTCAAAAATAAATTTAAAAAATTTAGAATTTTTTTAAAAATGATGTTCCCCCAAGGTCTACCAAATCTCAGATCTCTGGGGGCTGAAGGCCTCCAACCAGGTGCCCTGCCAGGGCGTCCCACGGAGAACTGGAGGGCGTGTGGAAAGACACCGATGCCACGAGGGAGCCACTGGCAGTAAACGGAGCAGAGCCCGGGTTCCTTGCTGACTCTGGCCAGCTGAGTTGCGTTCGGGGCTCTCTTTGGTCTGGCTCGGGCCCTCTTCTCCTTTCTGCTCTCTGCTCCTCCCCACCCCGTTCTGACTCTATCTTGCCTGCCCCTGGGGTTACTCTGTGATCCAGGCTGGGAAGGATTCGCTCTCCAGGGGCAGCGAGCCCTGGGGGATGCCCCGCCCTGTTGGCGTGTTGTGAGTCTGAAGGCTTCCTTTCCATCTGGCGAGGAAGGGGAGGAAGAAAGGACGGCGGCAGGGGACCAAGCCTCCTGCCCTGTCCCATTTACAAAGCCGCTCAGGTGACCGGTGCACAGCCAGGTATTGAGGGGACCTGTCAGAGCACCTGTGCATTCAGGCCGTGGCCCCCCTGAAGCCGCAGGCAGGCACCGCTTCCCACGGGGCCGTTTGAAACATGCCCATCAGTCACGGTCAGGCCTGTCTTGGAGCCTCACCGGTCCCCGCGGGGACCCTCCACTGGGTCAGAGCCTGAGCTTTGGTGGAGTGCTGGGGACAAAGCTTACAATGAACTTGTCACCTGGGAGGGAAGCCAGCGGGGGATCAGACGACATGCATTGAATCTGCGGTGCCTCGGTTAAGCGTCCGGCTCTTGGTTTCGTCTCAGGTCACGATCTCAAGGTTCGTGAGTTCGAGCCCCACGTTCGGACCCTGCGCTGACTGCCTGGAGCCTGCTTGGGATTCTCTTTCCTTCTCTCTCTGTCCCTCCCTCTCCCCCACAAATAAATAAATAAACATTAGGGAATCAAGAGCCTATGGATGAAGACAAGAGCAGGGCGGAACTCTCTACTTCCCTGAGCCGTGATGGCAGCCCGGGGCCGGCTCCAGCAAGGGCTGACGGAATTTTCCAGGGGTCCTGTGTGAGGGTCTCCGCAGGACAGGGCCCGAGGGAGGGCTGTGAGAAGGCGCTCGCCCCGGGGCGTGTGTTTAAAAGGCCCCACCGCTGACTGTAGGAAAGGGCCGAGGAGGCAGGGGACCTTCGCTCCGGCCTCAGCCCAGCTGTGGAACTGACCAGCCGTGACCTGGGCAAGTCATTTAATTGACTGCGTCTTCCGGTTGGGCAGCCACGACGGACAGACCCTGGCCAAGTGCTCAGGATGCACCAGTGAACCCGTGATGCCCGGAGTCTGAGGCGCATGAGGTCAACAGACAGTTCCCGCCACGGGGCTGGCCACAGAGGCGCGTACGAAGTTGCCCAGGGGCCCACAGAGGGAGAGAGGCATGTTGTGGGTGAGGGGAGCAGGGTGAGGGAGAAGGAAGGCTTCACGGAGGAGGTGACGTCTGAACGGGGCTTTGGAGGTTGAGTAGGAGCTCCCAGTGGGAGAAGAGCATGAGAAGGAGAGTGGGGATCACAGAGGCAGGGGCCCAGCAGGGCCAGTCACATTCAGGGATGCTGGCCGAGGGATGTGCCTGGGCCACGGGTTCGGTGCGGCCCTGGCACCGCGACTCCATCGTGTGGCGGGCTTACCTGGTTGGTGTGTTGGCGGAGGAGGTCTCAGCCCGTGACCGGGGAGTCTCGCACTCAGGTGTTCGCGCCTTCGTGCAGTGCCTTCGACACGGAACGGGGCCGACCGGTGTGGCCAGGAGAGCGCTGCTCGAGCAATGCCACGTGACTTCTGAGGCTGGGCCGGGAAAGCATCCTGCTTGGTCTCCCGGGGTCGCGCCCCATCGGCCGGCCAGCCGCCACCCCTCGAGGACACTCGGGCCACCCTGTGGAGGCTCGCGTGGTGAGCAGTGGACGGCCCCACCCGCAGCCGGCACCAACTCGCCAGTTATGTGAGTCGGCCACGTGGAAGTGGATCCTCCAGCCCGTCAGGCCTTCGGAGGACGGTGGCCCTCGCTGACGTCTGTCCGGTCCCAAGAGAGACCCCAAGACGGAACTGCCCAGCCACGCTGCTTCTGAATTCCCGACCGTAAAAACCGTGAGAAACAGTGATTATTGGTGTTTTAAGCCACTAGGCTCCAGGGTAATTCGTGATGCAACACTAGATAACTAACATTGGGGTTCTTCTGAGCTTCTAAGATGGCTGCCAAAGATCCCGGCTTCCGGGTTCACGCCCTCACGAGTGTGGTCTGAACGCAGTGACTTGCTTCTAATGAATAAGGCACGCCCGATGGGTGTCACTTTGAGCTTATGTTTCAGGAAGACTCTGGCCTCCGTTATGCTTGCCTCTCTTACTCTCTCAGTGGCTCTGAGGAAAGCTAGCGGCCATGTTGGGAGCTGCCCTGTGGAGATGCCCCCAGAGCCAAGAACTGAGGGACGTCTCCAGCCAACAGGCAGGGAGGAACTGAGGCTGTGAGTCCAGCAACTTGTGAGGAGCAGAATCTCACCAGCAACCACGTGGGTGGGTTGAAATGGCCACAGCCACCCCCCCGCCCCCCCCACCAGACACTTTGGTTCCAGACTTGTGAGAGCACTCAGATAGCTGCCCCCAAACTCCTGCTGCACGGAAACGGTGAGGTGGTTAATGTGTGTTGTCTTAGAGCTACCGAGTAGGGGGGCCATTTGTTACGAAGCAGTGGGTGACTCGCACAGTTCTGATGAACGGCATCCACCTCCCCTGTCCTGTCCCAGAGTTGCCACTTGGCTGTGGCCTGCACTTGGGTTTCAGCCTGCCACCCTGACCTTGGTTAGAGAAGGTAGGGGGCCGTTGAGGGAATGGTGGGGATGAGAATAGAAGGGGGCACAGCTTAACGCCTGCCATTTTCTGGAAAACCAGCTTCCACAGGACCAGAAGAGGTGAGTAAGCATGTGAATGAGACATAGGTTCAAGGCCGGGGTTTACCACCTTGTACCTGTGTGATCTTTGACAGAGGTACAAGAACTCCCGGGGCGCCAGTTCCCAAGGGGCCCCCTAGGAAGAGAGGGGAGCCACAGAATGCCCAAACTGCCCAAGCAGCCTCAGCCAAAGAGCTGATGTGCAGACTAAGCAAGAGGAACTTGGGTGCTACATCTTCACGGCAGACGCTGTTGTCACGACACCCTCACAGTGCGTCCGGGTGTCCAGACCGGGGAGGACCTCAGGAGGATGCCCGCTCGAGGGACCAGGGGCCCTAAGTTGCGCAATCACTGCCGCTTTTCTGGGGGCTTCCCGAAGGACTGTTCCCCGGATCTGGTCACCCCCTCGTCCGCTGAGCCTGAGCCTGAGCCCCGCACGGCATCCTGCCCCGAACAGCGATGGCTCACTCAGCTTTCTGGAAGTCTCCTGCTGTCCTCCTGAGCGCCGAGGGTCTCTACCTCCCTTGGGGGTTTATTTCTTGCTCTACGAAGCAATGATTTAATTCTTGCCTGGGATATCATTCAGCCCAAGTTCGTGCTGGAGTGAAACATATTTCAGCACCCACCAATTTCCATATAGATAAAAAAAGAAAAAAAAAAAAAGGAGTAAGGAAAACAACCTCAACCCGCATCTTCACAAACTATGCATTTGAAACCTGTTTCTTGAAGATGGATTGCTCTATCAGGCTGCTAAGAGGTTTTTCTTGACTTGTCAACAGTTTTATACCCCCACAAACATTCGTGGCTATAAATTATTCATTGCCCAGTTAGTGGTTAAAAAAAAAAAAAAAAAAGGATGCCTGGGGCCGAGGTACATTCTTAATTCTCCCTCTGCTTTTCAGATCCAAGTTGTTTTTTTCCTTCCTGCTGCTGGAAAAGTAGAAATAAGTGCAAGTCTCTTGCCGGGGAGGTTCATGGCCACAGCCTAAGGAGAAAGTCTTACTGAGCCCAGTGTGAGCTCAGCTGGGAGGGTGGGCGTAGTCCTGTGCAGTTTGGGGTGAGGCAGGACCCTGGGGTCATCAGGTACTTGTGGAAGTAGGAAATAGGTGTGTTTGGGGTGCTCTCTCTCCCTCTCTTTTTTTTCCTGTTGGCAGGAATTGCAAGGTTTTCAAAAAAGCGGGGAGGATACTCGATTCTATTCTAGGCCCCGTCATTTCAGAGAGCACGGCTGGAAAGGATCTGACACTTCTTCCACTCACCCGATTCCACCCTCCCTGGGCCCCTCTGGGGGCAGGGCTCTGCCAGGAGACAGCATGCCCCTTGTTTTTCTCCCTCATGCCCACCCTCTCTTGTCTGGCGCAGCCTGGGACCTCCCTGCAACTCCACCCAGCCTCCTGTTCCAGCAGGGATTCTCAAGTTTACCACCACCCATGGGACTGGGATTCAGGTGGTGGGGCGGGGCTAGGCTTCAGAGCTTGGGGCTTGTACGGGCCACGACAAAGCTCTCTAAGCTGGGTGGCTTGAAACAACAGAAATCCATTCTCTTACTGTCCTGGAGATAAGGAGTCCAGAAATGAAGGTGTCAGCAAAGCCGTGTTCCCTCCAGCCTCTCCCTCTCCTGCCAGGTAGACCCTTCCTGGCCTCTCCCTCGCTCCTGGTGGTGGCCCTC